TTTTTTTTGATCATTTTTAAAATACAAAAACCCCCCAAAAAAAAAAAAAAAAAAAAAAAAAAAACTATTGGCTGGACAATAAATCAATAACAATATTGATTAACCACAATCGACACATATCAGTAGATAACATGTCTCAAAGACAGAATATTCCACAATTTCACTGACCTCTGATCCAGAAACGCACAGCATTCTGGGGGATTCAGGCAGAGGAAAGGCTTCAACTGACTCACTCAGTTACCTAGCAACTCACTCACTCTTTGGTTACCTAGCAACAACCTTTTCAGTTACTTGTGCAGTAGCAGTTTAAGGTTTCGCTACTGTGCCTCGTAACTGCTTAAAAATGAGAAGGTGAACTTGCAATGTTATGCCATTATTAATACATTACTTAAAAATTGTATTTAAACAACAATATTATTGTTTATCGCAATAATTACTGCGACAATTTATCGCCTAGCTAAATTTATCATGGTCAGAGTTGGATAGTAACTAGTTACATTTACCCATTTACATTTACTTGAGTAACTTTTTTGAAAAAACAAAAACTTTTAGGAGTATTTTTACTGTGATGTACTTTTCACTTTTACTTGAGTAAAATTTCTTGATTCTCTACCCGCTGAATGAAAAACAAACATGTTTTAACCAAAACATATCAGACACAGAAACACGCCTGCAGTTTCTGTTAAAGTTTCATAAGTTTTTATTGAAAATGATCTTTCAATAAAAGATCAGTTGTTGGCACTTACTGCCATATCAGCAGGTGAATATTTAGAAATAAATTATCATTGCTATGTAAATAGTTGAACTTTTCTGTGTTATTGTTTTTCCACATTAACAGGTTTATGCAAATTTACATTCATGCAGTTTGTTGTAGTTTACCTGTTTCACTCCTCTGTGAAACTCTGCAGAGTTGATGTCCACCTCAAAGTAAAGCTCAATCAGGAGCGTTATGACCCTACACCGGATCCAGGTGAGCGGGTCCGGGATGCCCACCACAGAGACGTGGGGCTGGGATCCGGGGCTCCCCGGCGGCTCCTCGGCTCCTGCCCGGGCGCTGAACAGTCTGCATTTCTCCCCGGCAAACACGAACCTCCGCTTGGAACATCTCTGGCCGGGTTCCGCGCTTAAAGGATTCCCAGGACCCGAAAACAATCTCCCCCGCTGTTGGCACCGGAACGCCGGATCCCTGCTGCAGATGGAGCCGCTGCTCCAGGCCTGAGCCCCGGCTACGAGGCTGCGGAGGTCCCGGCGTGCAGCGAGGCCGGCGAGCCGCTGCATCAGGGCAGCGACTGGATCAAGAATCGGGTCACTCCCCGCATCCGCCGGTTCTCCAGCCGATGGTAACCTTACGCAATTCACCCCATGTTCTACCCATAATGCTTTTAGTCAACATGACGTGGACGGTCACTGCTGCTGCATTCAGGTACTGTAGGAAACTCTACAACTGCAACCAAATTGAAACTTTTTAGAAAAGGCAGCCTTTGTATAACATATTTGGACTTATTTAGACAACTTTTAACGGAGAAATTCAAGTTATATAAGAAAACATCAATACACTTGAGAGTTTGTATGTAAACAAATTAAAGCTAAAGCACAAAATGCATTACTTTTCTTTGGTTAGATTAAATATTTTAGCTGATATGAACTAAATATTAATGTTTTCTACTTGCTTTCCATAGAAAAGACGTGTGCTTTTAACTTTTGCTTTTAACTTTTATCTCATAGCTCTAAAGAAATGATCTTGTTGACAAAATAAAAACCTTTACAGTTTCTATATTTTTATGTAAAAAATGCTTCATGATCCCAAACATTATTAATTTGGGTGATAATTTTGCGTATTTATTTACAGCGCCATTGTGCTTCTAAATCTTTTTATACTTTTTGTTTTTACGATAACAAGCCCACAAGATTTTTGTTATCAAACTTTAAACCAGGATTGCGTTGCTTGCTCAGTAAATATATATTTACTTTGTTAAGTAAAAGCACATGTCTTTTACAACTTTCGAACCACACAAATATTTTAAAACCTTTAACATTTTAGTTGAAGGATTTTAAATAATCGTTCAAATTGAAGGCAACAAAAGTGTTTCTCCAAGCGTGTCCAGCAGGTGGAGACAAATACTAATTTATTGGCGTCACTGGATCTGTGTTTTTAAAGTTTGTGAAAAGCAGCGAACTAATTTTATGTCGGTCTCGGTTATATCCAGCAGGAGCATCTGAAAAAATAAAACCAGTAGAAAACGACCAGTTGCACAAGCTGTTTCTGGCCTTTAGTTTTTGTTAGAAGCTGCCGGAGATCATTTAGATATAAAACCTGATCAGACTCATATCGTGTCGTTGGCAAAACGGTTTCAGCTGTGCGCGCGCACAATCTGAAGCAAAAACACACGATTGATGAATTGATCGATGAATTGACGGTTCAGCCTGCAGTATCAGAGTAAGTATATAAGATTCGCATCACATTTCCGTGACTCTCTAGTGTTTTAATTTACTAACCCCTAATAGATTCATGACATTTCTCTAAAAATCCTCAATTTAATTAAAGCTGATTGTCAAGTTCCTAAATCTATTACATGTTCTTCATTTTTGTTAGCACGTCTGCTAAAGATTTGCAGCAAGTTTCTAAAAGTGAGCTTTCCAGTATTACTACCTCCGTCCTCGCTTTCCTTAACAGCGAGATAAAATGGGTCTTAATCCAAACTCTTCTACAAACATAAAGAAGCAGTGTTCAGCTTCTTTGCACCACAAATCTGGAGCAAACTTCCAGAAAACTACAAAACAGCTGAAACACCGAGTTCCTTTAAAAGCTTAGAGCTGCTTCTGAACAATAATAAATGTAACATTGACCTACACGTTTCGATACTGGCACTCCTCAAAATGTAATCTCGTTTCTCAAACGTTGACTTTTTGTTGTTTTTATAACTTCTTATTCTTGTGTTTTTATGATGTAACACAATTTGAAACTGCCTTGTTGCCGAAATGTGCGATTGATGGGATGATTTTTTTTTTGGCAGAGTTTCAGTGTTAAACTCCGTCATTATTGCTCTTCCTACAAATGTAGTCTTTCCCATTTTGAAGAGTAGCCTAGAGAAAAGTGCTCCTGTGTTCCATCATGCATCCAGTATTAGAAGTTTTAAAAATAAAACACAAATAACAGAAAAAAAAATCTTCTAACCGTCTTTATTTTGTAAAAAATGTTTTGTGTAAAACAATAACTTAATATTCTCCCACTGAATAAAAGAAGTCAAATTTAAAGCTGTATCTTTCTGGAGAAATTACGCTATTGCGATCTTTCAAACGTAAAACGTGCAGGACGTTCGGTGACATCAGGAGCAGCTGCGTGTCTTTCGTTTCCTTCCCGCTGCCGCTGAGTGGCGCTGTTGTCCACATTAAGACCCTCTGGGTCACAGCAGGGTTGAAGATATTCAGAGGAAAACCTCCAGAGTGTGCGATGCAGGTCCGTTTGAACACGGGGCCTGGGTTTGTTCAGTAATCATGTCTGCAAGCTGCAGTCGCAAATTTAAACATTCCTGAATTTACTTTTATATTTTTGGTCGTGGTGGGATTTCTCTGAAGGTTCCCACACATCCGCAGCGACTTGTTTTTACACCATATCAAATTGGTTGAATAATTTAAAAAGTCTAGATGGAGAACACACTAAAAAGAGACTTATAAAATCGTTGCTCCTTTTAAAATATGCTTTTTTGTTATATTTTTTTAGTGCTGGGATTAAAATTCCAACAAAAAGGAAAGAGGTGCAGCTTTAAATACTCACAAAATATTAAGAAAGACATTCAAACCTCTATTTCTGACAAAAAGTGTAGAGGTTGGATACATTTGATCAGCAGATTTAAAATGTTTTTTACCTCTTTCATGGAAGACCTTAAAGAGTAAATTTAACTCATCGTCGTGAGGGGCTTTTAGAAGAACTTTGTGCTGGCGAGGATTGCATTTTTTAATCTGAAAATATGTTGTTTTTGTAAATTCAAATTTAGTCTGGGCTACAGGTATTGGTTTTTGTGGGAGCTGGCAGGGAGCCTCACAAAATAGCAGGCACAGGTGTTGATCAGGATAAAAAAAAGAAAGAGAGAGACGGATAAGATTTAAATTGTGGTTGTTGAGTGAATCTGGCGTATCTATATTTAAATGAAATCACAAAGTTTGGAGGAAAATCATATTTTCTTCGTTTTTTTCACTCAAAGTGAGGGTTAATAATTAAAATTAAGCGACGACTAACAAGAAGGAATTAGCTCCAAAATGTTCTTAGTAATAGTTTCTGCCTACAAATTAACATGTTTTTTTTATTTTTTAAACCATGCATAAATAAAAAAAAGGAATAAACCTAAATTTATTATTCATCTGAGATGTGATTAATATGCAAAATTATGCAAATTAAGATGCAATTAGGCTCCAATTCTCTGGTGGAATTTTCCATTATAATTTAATACAAAGTAACAGAGTAATTGGTGTCACGTGTAATTACGGTTACTCAAGTGCACTTTCAGGCATGCAAATGATTTGCTATATGTTGGTTATCCTATGCAAATGCACCATGTGGTGTTTTAACAAGTCAAGGAAAGCACAATGGTTACCCAGCGGGTTTGGAGCCACGCAAACACACCAGGATGTATATTTTAAATGAGACACGGCGGAAAACTTTGAAGTGCCCGGATTATCGCCACGACGCAGACTTTCATCTGTCCCCAATCGATTAGTGAGAGGAAGCTAGGCTTGGTTTGTGTTTTTTTTTGGGGAGGGTTGGAGGAGACTCGGAGTTAAACTGTTGCTTCAGTTCGCCATGCCGCCTCAACCTCAGCTCTTCTTCTGTGTCTTCATTATGAGTGTTTGATCAGTGATGCTGCAAATGTCAGCGGCGAGCAGGAAAACGTGTCGGGTAATTACGCCGTGACAAACTTTCCAGGGGCAGAGAGACGAAACCTGATTATGTAACTGATATCTGTTCAGATCGGACGAAGAAGTCCTGGGAAAACGCTCAGAGGAAAAAAACCAACAAAAAAAAATCCTACTTGGGAGGCAAATTGATTTTAAATTGTTACAGGGCTGGTTTACATGTCCTGACATCTTTCTTTCCTCTCCAGCACACACACACGCACACACACACACACACACACACACACACACACACACACGCACACACACACACACTCTGTCTCTCTGCTATCTGTCTTGTTATGATCAATGCTCTGAACAAAGACATCCTCCCTCCCTCCTCGTCTCCCTCCTCGCCCCCCGCCAGCCGCCTCACCCGTCCTCTCCGCCTCCACTCTGTGTGTCTGCCTGCATGCACAACTCTCTCAAAGAACATAATCCCTCAACAAAATGGAAACACAAAGGAAACTTGAGCTCAATCCTATAAACGCACGGACACAGCACACAATGCCTCCTCCCACCCGTCCCCCCGCCTCAAACTGCCTCCCCAACAGCCATAAATGCCCCGTGGCTCAGATCAGGCTTTATCAGGGCTCTTCTTCTCCTCCTACATCCATCCATCCATCCATCCATCCATCCATCCTGGTTTAGACTCTCCTGCCTTGGCTGTAAATGTCCCATCGTCTCTCATTCCTCCACACAGTGACTAAGAGTGATGAGAGTCTCTTATTTAGAAACAAAACGTCATCGTTGCTCCGTTAAAGTTAAAGGTGAGTCTAGATACTTTAATACGGCGGGGAATTAGAATAAAATGAGCAAAATAAGAGAATAAAGTCATAATGTTATGAAAAGAATAATCGTACGGTTACCAGAATAAAGTCGAAATAACTCGAGAAGTCATAATATTTCTAGAACAAAATCATGTGAATGTGAATGAAGTCGAAATAATACATTACAAAAATAATGGTAATCTCATAATAATCTTTTTATTATAAGATTATTACGATAAATACGTCCATGTCACTCACTCCTACACCAAACAAAGTTTTCTTTCAAAATCCAACTCAGATAAATATACTGTTTTTTTTATCTGATGCATTTCCGCTCCCCAACCTGTTGCAGTAGCGCCCTGGGCCACTGCCCATATCAAAAATATGTTTTGGGATCACTGCATCATTACTTTTCCCTTGGTTTCTTTATCTTGTATCATTTATTTTTCTAAGAGTCTGGGAATGCACTTTCTTTAAATGCCCACAAATAGTCAGTTTACTTTCAGTTTCAAGCATCTGGCATCCTGAAGTGAGTCAATTAAACCGTACTGGGTCACTGATTTGTGGAAGTTGCAGTGTTGATGGGAAAGCTTTTCAACATTTTTTCTCAAATTGTGAATAGTTTCAAATCAGAAGTAAAGCAAGAGGAATATTTCCACAGGTGTCTTCAGACTCAAATCAGGAGGCAGATGTTACATGAGCTTTAGTTTTCCAGAAAAAAG